GTTCGCGTCAGCGTCCTCCTCCTGTCCCTGGCACGCACCGGATGTCTCTGCGTCCGTCCACTGCTCCTGTGCGTGCCCCTTTGCCTTCTCCTCCTGAGTCCTCTCTTCCTGCTCTTTCCGGCCCGGAGTCGGACTCTCTTCGTGCTGCCAGTCCTACTGTCACGCGTCTCCTTGCTACTGTCGTCACTGACCCTTGTTTTGAGTCCACTGATGCGTCTGCCCTAGTTGCTGAGCTCGTCGACTTTGCTGCTCGCTGTCGTCTAGACTACGCTTCTAGTCTTGTCGCTGAGTCTGAGTCTGACTGTCCTCCGTCCGTCGGGGGTGAGTGTGCCCTTGGCACGGACGTCCTTGAGGACAGGCAGGAGGAGTTCCAGTGCTTGGCCGCTGCTTCACCTCATCTCGTGTCCGTACTGCTTACCCCTGAGGGAGACCCGGATGCACTTGACATCCCGACTCCGCGCTCTTACGCGGAGGCGATAGAGGGTCCCTACTCTTCTCAGTGGCAGGCAGCTATGGATGCAGAGATGGCTTCCTGGAAGTCCACAGGCACCTACGTTGACGCTGTTCCCCCTCCTGGGGCGAACATCGTCAGTGGCATGTGGATTTTCAGGGTGAAGCGGCCGCCGGGTTCTCCGCCTGTCTTCAAGACGCGTTACGTGGCTCGTGGCTTTCAGACCTTCTCTCCCACCCCGAAGATGACCACTCTTCGGGTACTACTGCACGTAGCTGCTCACCGTGACTACGAGCTACACTCTCTTGACTTCAGCACTGCCTTCCTGCAAGGCAGCCTGCACGAGGAGATCTGGCTGCGCCGCCCACTTGGCTTCATTGGGACTTTTCCTCCTGGCACCCAGTGGAGCCTCCGGCGGCCAGTCTACGGTCTCCGCCATGCACCGCGTGAGTGGCATGATACACTGAGGACTACACTTGCGGCTCTTGGGTTTGCTCCCTCTACTGCCGACCCGTCGCTGTTTCTGCGCACCGACACTTCTCTGCCGCCGTTTTACATCCTCATGTACGTCGACGACTTGGTGTTTGCCACAGCTGACACTGCTGGACTCGCCGACGTGAAGTCCGAGCTGCAGAAGAGACACACGTGCACAGACCTGGGTGAACTGCGCAGCTACCTTGGCTTGCAGATCACCCGGGACAGAGCACGCCGCACCATCACCCTGACTCAGTCACACATGGTGCAGCAGGTCCTTCAGCGCTTCGGCTTTACGTACTCCTCGCCTCAGGCCACTCCTCTGCCTACTCACCACTCGCTCTCAGCTCTGCCTTCGGATGAGTCCGTAGAGTCGAGTGGCCCGTACCCAGAGCTTGTTGGCTGCCTCATGTACCTGATGACCTGCACACGACCTGACCTTGCATACCCTCTTAGCATTCTCGCACGCTATGTTGCTCCTGGGAGACACCGACCAGAGCACATGGCTGCAGCGAAGAGGGTGTTGCGCTACTTGTGCAGTACGTCGAGCATGGGGCTAGTGCTTGGAAGGCGGAGTCTAGTGGTCCTCACTGGTCACGCAGACACTTGTTGGGCTGACGACCAGGCTACGCAGCGGTCGTCACAGGGTTACACCTTCTGCCTTGGTTCCGGCTCTGTTTCGTGGCGAGCTACTCGCTCGTCTTCTGTTCTCGGCTCTAGTTGTGAGGCTGAGATCTACGCAGGGGCCATGGCTGCTCAGGAGCTTCGCTGGCTCACCTATCTGCTGACCGACCTTGGAGAGCCGCCTCGTTCTCCTCCAGTTCTGTACGTAGACAACAAGGCCATGCTGGCCTTGTGTCGAGAGCAGAGACTGGAGCACAGAACAAAGCACATTGCTCTCCGCTACTTCCTTGCTCGTGAGCTACAGCAGCGTGGTCAGTTGCGGCTTGCGTACGTTGCCTCTGAGGCCAACACTGCTGATGTCTTCACCAAGGCACTTGCGCCTTGTGATCATCAGCTCTTCTGCACCCAGCTGGGTCTTGTACCTGTCTTGCCTCACTTGCTCACCTCTTGACCTTGCTTGTACTGTTACATATATATATACCTACTCTTGCTTGTCTAGCCTTATACATATATATGTACTCCTGCATGTGAACTGGCCTTGTGGCCTTGAACTGGCCTTGTGGCCTTGAACTTGTGCTCGGAATGTGTGGTGACTTTGTGATCCAACCTGAGCTTGCTTTGCTTTGCTTTACTTGACTGGTCTTGTGACCCCTAGTTCTCCCCCACTTCGCCTATGGGGGTGTGTCAAACATTATATATGTTGTGCTTGTTTAGGCTACAGTGGGTTAGCCTATAGGGGGTACACAATTCTAGGGTTATGTACTTGTACTGATTTCACTGTTAGTTCAACCATTCCTGTTCATTCATTTCAACACTTTGGACGTGGTTCACTTCAAGGCCAAGCAAGGTCGCCGTCGTACCCGAGGATTCGGAACTGGTGCAAAGAAGCCTTTGGGAAGATCGGACTAAGGGGACAGCAGCTGGGCACTCACTCATTTCACAAAGGAGCAGCCACTGCTGCGGCGAACACCGGCGTGCCGGACAGAATCTTCAAACGACTGGGCAGATGGCGCAGCGATACAGCGAAGGAGATGTACGTCACGCCCAACGTCGAACATCTCATCAGCGCCTCCTGCCAGCTGCAAGATATGGCCTACGCCCCTTTTTCAGCATAGCACGCGGAGGCACTCGTGCGTCATCGAAAACCCCCGCTGCCCATGTCTCAGAGACCCCAGTTGAAATGAGAACGATGCCAAATGATAAGTATTAGAAAGCAAGCTTTCTAAATATGATAAATTTTAAACATACATAGTGTTTTTTAAAATTACGTATTTCGAAAGCGCAGCTGACTGTAACGCGAATTTGGCATCGTCGAAGCGCGCTAAACGCCCTTCTCCAACTACAAATTGTGGGTTGGAGCTCATTTCCTTCCACCCACGTCTCTCATTTTTCAAACGGCTCATGCAACTCTCCCACCCCCCGCCCCAACACTGATGGACACCAAGGCCGCCGCTTACACAGGACATAAGTGGTACAATATGGGTTAGCGCACACCTATTGGGATTGATAGCTTGACGAATGATTGATAGGAAGTATCATGACATGTACTAGCACTTATATTGTCTAGCTCGAGGTGCATGTTGTAATTTGCCAGTTGAAATAAGAACGATGCCCAGTTGAAATGAGAACGATGCCAAATTACAAGTCTTAGAAAGCAAGCTTTCTAAATACAAAATTTTAGAAAGTGTTACATTTCATTACACTTTCAAAAATTATCATTTTTAATAACAACCTTTTTATTTGGGGAAACACTGATGCGTCGGATTTTTTTAAAAATTAACACCGAATTTTCAGGCTTTTTTTTTAGGGGACACTGTCGATCAGGGATGCTACATGGAATGACCCTGATGTGTGCCTAAAAGTGAATATGAGGGCCTGCTACCATGGTCAAGTAAGGGTTGCGCACGGAAATGTCAATAACGAAGAGAGTGCCTACAATGTAAGGCATGTAATGTATGCGGAAGAAGCCCTAGCGTAATATAATGGCGAGGTTGTAGGGCCAAGTCTGATCTTAAGATGTTCTAAGCTATGTTTCAGTAAGGGATGGAAATCCATTACAAGCTTCCTGGAATAACATTAAACGTTTTCGCATTTCCTAAAAGCTAAATCTGAAACGCGTCCCGTGGATGCTCGAAGGTGTGAGCGACGATTGGCATAACTTTTCCAGAGTCAAGTTTCAGACCCTGAGGACGCGTCACCTCCCTCGATCGATCGTGCAAAATCGAGGAATATCGATCGTCCACCGCACTAAAATCCCGCCTTTCGTATTTACATTTATTTAAAAACTTTTTGAACCGAATCAAGAATCGAACCTACGCAGGGTCGATCGAGGCAGGTGACGTGTCCTGAGGGTCCGTGTAAGGACGCGGCAACTGTTTTTATTTAGGCAGGATTGTTCGTTAGAGGGGATCGATGTGCTGTTTATACAGTGTATTTGCGACATCGCGAGCGCTTGGTATCCGTGTTTCGCGGGAGCTCGATGATATACAGTAAATAGGTACCCAAACTAGTGGCACCTGCAGCTCGCACGATCGATGTGCCATGTTGCACACATCGATAGTGCGTTTTGGTTGGTGTGAGAGCACATCGCGCCACAGGTGACAGCCGCGATCGATCGACGTCGCCCACGGTCGCAAGCCAAAATAATATTCCGACGTGGATCCAACCTTCCCGATCCTGCAATTCTGATCCCGGCACCTATTGCTCGATGTGTCTACCTCACAGCAAATTTGCAGTTTGGGCACATCGGTGTGCCGATCGATGTGCCAGGATCGATGTGAGGTCACGATCCTCCCTCAATCCTCGAAAAATGCAAACAGGTGCCGCGTCCTAAGGGCTGCCCAGATTCTGAGGCAGATTCCGGATGTTGCGAACAAAACACTTCGTAACACACCACCGCTGTACAGATTTCAACGATCGGCCTCACGATAGCCTGCGAACTGACATCTGAACACTAAGCCCCAAGGCACCAACACGAATTTTTGCGACGTCAGCAAAACTCTCAACAACAATTTGATCATCAGGCGAATTTGATGACAAGGCATTTGCGACGTCGCAGTTCGCGTTGTTCTGAGGCAGATTTTTCCCGCATCCGAACTTTGGGAATGTGCGACAGCTCAGATTGTTGGGTTGTCAGATGTTGTTCGAGTCTTGAAATGCAAAATCATAGCTGATTCAAGTTTTGGTTGACCTTGCGTGCACCTAGGATAATCGTCATTTCTATCCTTACGCGACCGCGACCACCTCAACACTGACGCGTAATCCATCATAAGGTCATGATTGCTTCACATTCTTAAATCTCGTCTAGCGGAGCACCACGAATTTAATCCATCAATTTTGACCGTCAACGTCCTTTTTCCCAGTTCAACCGTTTTCGGAGACACTGGCAGATTCTCAAGGTAACGGTGCTGGATAAGAGAATTCGGATTCGATACGATCCGATCTGCCAGCCATGGCGCCAGTCCCAATAGACCATACGAGATTGGACGCACCGGAGCGCGCCTCGGCTCACGCGCTCCGCCTTGACGTCGGGCAAGACGACGCTACCACCTCCCTCCTCACCCCCCCTCAATGCCAAGGAGCCGATACCGCGGTACCTCATAGCGAGTATGTTCTGCTGCACGAGCGCGAGGCGGCGGTGGAGCGGGGAGCGGCGTCGTGGGTGGGGGAGGCAGCGGCGCAATGCAGCGTGGGGTTGCCAGTAGCGGGCACGATGGCGGTGAATAGCTTCATGCAGCTACTGTGCCTCGCGTTCGTGGGGCACCTGGGCACGCAGGAGCTCGCGTGTGCTTCCATCGCCACCGCGCTCGCGAACGTCACTGGCTTCTCGCTGCTGGTAACCCCATCCGCGCCCAGAACAGGAATCTGTTTTCGAAAATTCAAACATTATTTATCGAATTTAGGGGGAAAGGGAGGAAATTGGCGGAGGGAAGATGTGGGGAGGGGGGAGGGGGAAGAGGAGGCTCACTATGCATACACGCGTGACCTGCAGCAGTCCCATTCCGCCGCCCCTACTCGTCTTCCCCGCACACACCCCCCCCACCCCTCCGCTCCCCCCCGACCTTCCCTCCCCCCTCTTCCTTCCCTTCCCCCTTTTGACCTTTCAACCAACCCCTACCCCACCCGCTATGTGCCGCTTGACTCAATTCCTTCTTCCTTCCCCTTTGCTCCACCCATCCACTCTTCCTCCCCCCACCCGTCCACGTCGCTTCCCCCGCCCATCCATCAAAAAGGCCTGGCGAGCGCCATGAAAGCCTTCTGCGGGCATGCAAGCGGCTCTTGGGACCTAGCGTGCTGTTTCAGTTGATTCGAATCCCGCGTCTCCCCACTGCACCCGCTCCACTCGTCCACGCTGCCCCCCTCCACGCGTCCACCAGGAAGGGCTGGCGAGCGCCATGGAAACGGTGTGCGGGCAGGCATACGGAGCAGGGGACCTGGCGAACCTGGGGACCATGCTGCAGCGCGTGCACCTCATCCTCACCCTCGCCTGCCTCCCCATCTCCGCCTGCTGGCTCGCCACGCGACCACTGCTGCTCTTCACAGGCCAGGTGCGCGCGCTTGTCTCCTAGGCGAGTGAACAAAGGGTGGTACTTCTGAGTGGAATTCGGAGTCGACTTGTAAGGTCTGAGACGATTGCTGATGCGCCGCAAGAGAGGTTTGGCTTGCTATGGAACAGCTGCTGCTGCTCACAGAGGTCGCATTGCAGCAATGCGTTTAGACCTTTATATAACACTCATGGCGTCGCCTTCCCTCCTTACCCTCGCACTCCCCTTCTTAATATCCGCATAACCTCCCCCCTTCTCCTTTCCCCCCCCCCCGCAACCCCCCCAGGACCACGCCATAGCGAGTGGAGCAGCGCTGTACATCGCGTGGGAGATCCCGGGCCTGGTGGCATCCGCAGCGTTCCTGCCCATCACCAAGTTCATGCAGGTCAGTTAGTGCCTGATGATCGACTTAAAGAAATGGTTTCGAAATTGAATCCTAAAGAAATTAGCGAAAAGCAATTGCGACATCAGCTAAATCAGGACAACGATTCGTCCAAGAACTTGGTATGGGAATTATTGTAGTGTTCGTGGTCCGTGTTGGCATGTATTCTCTATCTAGTTCTGCGAACTACGCCCATCGGGATACAAGCAGGCGAAGCACCCAGTGGTGTTGCCAACCAGCCGGTGTGTACAGCTCCTTGCTCAACCCGTGCTGTAGCACAGTCCAAGCTGGCAATGCCTGGTGGGCGTGCTAGTGTCTATATCCTCTCAGCCTCGAATTCCCTCAGACTTTCTCACTCGTGTATTTTGTGTTAATTTTACTTTCTTTCCCACTTTTCTTCCCGTCCCTCCCACCCTTCCATCTTTCTCTTCTTTTCTTCTCTTCCCTCTTCCTCCCCCACTTCGGCATGCATTCTGTATTCCAGGTCCAAGGTGTGACCCTCCCCCTCACCGTCATCTCCCTCGTCTCGCTCCTCTTCCTTTCTCTCGCCTCCTACCTCTTCATCCACACGTTTGCTCTCGGCTTCACAGGAGCCGCCATGGCCCTCTCGCTCACGCTGCTCTTCCAGCTGCTGCTCGCCCTGCTCTACCTCGCTCTGCTAGACAGCTCCCATCAACTGCTCTCGCGCTGCTGGCGCGGTTGGTCACTCGCTCTCTGTTTCTCTGGCTGGTCGCCCTACCTCACTGTTGCTGTGCCCTCCTGTGCCATGATATGGTGAGACGTCAGGTGCCTTCTTTCGATCATACAACTCTTAGAAAAGGCTTGCAACAAAATTAAGAGCTCTCAGCAGCGACTCTCATGTGGCTGTGGCAGTGTCGTCCTGTGCAATGTCGTGGTGGGGATTCAGCTGTGGATCCTCCAGTGGGCTTTCCGGATTGTTGCTCTTGTCTCCGTTCCATTTTGCCCAACCCTGCGCGTGATGAGACGATAATTCAGGCACTTCTAGTGCCATGTCCGGTCCACTCCTCCCAATCCCTGACCCACACCTCCGATTTGGTGGCCGTCTCCTTGCATCCCCCTGGGCACGGCAGTCTGGAGTGGTGGTTCTTTGAGATCGTCACGCTTGTCTCCGGCCTGCTGCCCAACCCTGCTGTCAACGTTGCAGCCATGACTATAAGGTGCGCTGACGTGGCAGCCATGACGATAAGGTGTGCTGATATGTGATGATTCAGACAGCCGTTTAGTCAGCTTGACCACGTTCTTCTGAACCCCAAATCCTGCATCCTTGCATTTGTTCGTCGAATTGTCTCCGAGGCTGAACTGATCGTATGTGCTTCAGCCTGTACACACTCCTCTCTTGGCGGCCGTTCTTCGCCGCAAGCATGCAACCCCGAAAGTCCTTCCTTCCCGCATGCCATGCCGTCCAATGTGTTCCTTGTTGCATCCTCCACTCCCCCCTTTTCCTCCCCCTCCCCCTTTCCTCCATCCTGTGGGGTGCAGTCTACAGACTGCTGGGTTCTGCTTCATGTTCTCCCTCGCCTTTGGCATTGCTGCCAGGTGCGCTCACCTCTCCTGGCACTCCGCCACTTCACACCGCTCTACACCACTCCACTCCACGCACAACTTGCATTTAACCGGCAACCTTAAATGATTTTTTAGAACTTCAATTTTCCCAGGAATGTCAGCCCAACGATTTTCAAGTAGCATATTATAACCACCCTCATCTTGAACACTCTATTCTGTATACACTCACCTGCCCTGCCCCCTTATTTTCCGCACCACCTTTCCCCTTCGCTCGCCTGGCTATCACCCCATCAGCATACAGGTGAATAACACGCCTGGAGCAAAGAGCACAGTGGCAGCACGATTGTCTGAGTCAGCTCAGTAGTTTGTTCCACCCTCTCCCCACCACCACCCCGCCCCCCTCACTCCCCTGCGCCCCTCCATCTCTGCAGTGTGCGGGTGAGCAACGCGTTGGGAGCAAAGAGCCCAGCAGCAGCACGGCGGGCGGTGGGTGTGGCGATGGGCATATCGGTGCTGCTGTCAGCGCTCATAGCATTCTTCCTGCTCTTCATCCGCGACTTCCTCATCCTCTTCTTCACCGGTGCTGCTGCGCCTGACGTTGCTGCCCTCGTGCGCACGCTCATGCCCTTTCTCATTGTGTCCCAGCCGGGCCTCTGCCTCCCAACAATCCTCTCAGGTACAATCATCTACCCCACCCCACTGCCTCTCCACTGCATTTTTCTCGCTTACTGCTTCAGTGTCTGATTGTGCTGCATTCTCCCTCCTCCTCCCTCCCCTTCCTCCCCTTGCCATGCTGTGCTGTGCAGCGCCATGCAGAGACATTTCAGAAACTTTTTTTGCATCCCACCCCCTTCCTCCCCTGCCCACCTGCCCTTCCCGCACACCAGGAGTGCTGCGGGGGTCAGGGCAGCAGGCAGTGGGCACGGGGGTGAACGGCTTTACCTTCTATGCCATCGCGCTGCCCCTCGCCTACGCCCTCGCCTTCTACCCTTTCCACCTCGGCGTTTCCGTAAGTTGCTGCTTGCACTGGCACACACATGCACGCACGTGCATACACACACACGCACACACGCAGGGAAATCTTTTGCCTGCCTTTTGGTGGTGCGCTTACGTCCTTGCATGTGAGGAAGACACAGTCAGCTCATGCTCTTCAATCGCGCCACATCAACTCCACAGACCCACATTCGCACTCTTATCTCTTCCTCACCAGGTTCATAGGGGTCCTTATTCAGTATTCTCTGGCGTGTCTCCCCATATGACGACCCCCAGGGGCTCTGGCTATCCATAATTGTGGGGGAGGCAATCCAAACCGCCATCTTTGGGTACTATGTGGCCACCACTGATTGGTCTGCACAGGTATGCTGCTCGTAGCTCTCTGCGAATCGTCCGTTAAGGGTTGCTGCTTCCCTCCCTGCTCCCATCCTGCTCCTTCCACCCCCCGCCCCCACAGCTCACGTCCTGCCGCACTTGCATTGTGTTATCTTGTTGACTCCGTGCAGGTGGAGCATGCAAAAAAACGAGTAGAGGCCAACAGATGATTGTGACATCAGGGCGCATGTATATATTACATGCTATTGTAAAAAAGGAATAGTAGAAAGGAAATGAGGCAGTGGTTTACAAAGCTGTGAATGTGTAGAAGCGGATTGCTAGTTGGTCAGTCAAATCATGCTGGTTGTTGGAAACAAGTAACTTAAGCGCCTCTGTCGCGTCGAAGCACTAAGTCATAAACGAAGCGAAACACAGCGAAGCATCAGCGAGTCAACCCTCGGAGGTCGAACAACTGCTAGAGGTTACGTGAAAGTCAAAGGTCAGCGACCTTTGACCTGACAAGTACAGCGCGACAGCAAGGACAAACAACTGACTCGTTATTGAGCAGTTGCCCGAGTCGTCACTGTATCGAACGCAACAGCAACAACAAAACAGTTATTAGCTATAACCCTTCATATTCCCTTATACTCTTATAAAAGACAGTATCTCTTTGTTTTAATCAATCTACTTTGCCCTCACATACCAGCGCAAGGTGGTTCACAAACTTGTCATTAAACGCTTCCGGTATTACGTTGTCCTACTCAGAGTTTAGTCCTGCAAAGATCCTAAGGGCTTTTCTCAACCCAACATGGTATGAGAGCTATCAGGACAAATTCAACTACAATCAAGACTTCTACAACATCACAAGGCATGGCAACGCAGAAGGAGAGAAGCTCCTCTAACGGCTCTCCCGGTACTACTCCTACTCCACCTCCTGCCTCTGGCCTACAGACAGAGGAGGGCATAGCAACAAGACCGGCAGCTAGGTCTACCGAAACTCCCGCAAATCAAGCCGCGGGCTTCGACCCAGACATGATGGAGGAATTCTTCTCCTTCATGTCCTTCTATGAAGAACACCAGCAAGGGGCACCTGCGCAGTCAAACAACAGCAACAACAACAACGTGACACCGATGAGCCTCGACGGTTCATCCTACGCGCGAGGAAATCAGCAACAACAACCTACCTTCTCCCCGTACGAACCTCAGCGCGGTTCTGTCAGCTTCATGCCGCGCCAGCAACCTTCAACTGAGCAAGAAAAAACATTGGATGCACTTCAAGTCCAGTCGCAATTTGCGCATGTCTTAAAACTGCTGATGTCAAGACCGTTCGACGGAAAGGACTTCTTTACCTGGTCATTCGAATTCGAGCTGATGATGGAAGGCGCGTAGATTCTTGGCTTCTTAGACGATTCCCTGCCATATCCAACGCACAGGACGCAATACGACAAGCAGCAGTATACATATCAGTCCATGATGGCGTACACAATCCTACTGCGCAACGTGACACAAAACCAGCAGCAGAACATTCGGTCTTACCGGGGATACGGGAACTCCGCTGAGCTCGCGTACAACCACCTGAAGAACCTGTATCAGGCAACAGACAGCGTCAACCAGAGTCAGTTAATGGCACAACTGACAACAGTGGAAATGAAACCGGGCGAAAAGGGATGGCATATATCAGCCGCTGTCGCGAATTGCGCGACAAACTCTTTCGATGCAGAGGGTCGATATCAGAAGACGCCTTCGTCACAGTCGTCATTGGCGGTCTTGGTCCTCATTGGCGCTCCACTCGCGCCATACTCCGAGCTCACGGGAAGATCTCCGAAGCAGCACTATGCGCCGAAATTCATGCTGAGTAGCAAGACATGGACCTACAAGAAGAGCGGCACAAGAAGAAAACATCAGTGCCCGAATTTGCTTTTCACACTCAACGGCGCTACAACAACAACAACAACCGGCATCAACCAAAACCCGTACCTCCGTTCTGTCATCTCTGCAAGACTTCAGGGCACCCCCGGACACACTGCCCAAATCGACAACAGTCAACACCGCCGCAACGCCAACTTCGTCCTTCAAGTAGTCAAGTGGCGTCCACACAAGCGCACCCCACGAGTCAACTGCAGCCCTCAACGACATCATCAACACAATCTGCACAAGGGGCAAGAAACATTGTCAGTTGCATGGCAAGTCTGACTGACTCCTGCATCACCGAGTCACCACCGCACTACTCACCGGAAGAGCAACTCGACAACAGCACTTCTCGCCGCGAGTCACTTCAACCGAAACCGGCGTATGCAGCCATCGCTCAAAGCGAGCCGTCCGGGAAAGACACTTGGTTCTTGGACAGTTGCTGCGGACAGCATATGTGCTCTTCAGGACGCTTCGTTCAACGCGAACACCAACTTCAACGCGAGGTCGTCATCACCGTCGCCAACAACCAGAACCTGCGCACATGACGACAAGGCGTGGTGCAACTTCAGTCACGAGAGACAAACGTCATACTACAGATGTCAAAGGTGTTAATTGCGGAGGGACTCGGCTACAACTTACTGAGTGTCACTCAGCTGATGGCGAAAGGCATCCACCTCGAAGCAGACAGCACAACACAGGAGTTCAAGCTGTACCACGGGAGAGGATGCCTCTACATCGGCAAGGTCGTACTAAAAAACAACGTGTTTGTTCTCGACTTCGTTCCAGATCTAGGCACCGCCGACAGCGACGGAATCGTCACCTTCACCTCCTGGACGCACCCACCGGATCTTGATCCTGACTTCAGCCCCGAAGGATTCTGGTACTCGCACACCATTCCCGAGGCAGAACGAACAAGAGCATTAGCAACAATTCAATCGGCAGCAGCAGAGACTGTCAAAGTTTGAAGAAAGAAAGAGGATTGAACTAGCAAGAATGAGGATACAAATAGCAAACCCTAGAAGGGTTGTACTCGCTATAGAGCACCCCACTACAGGCTAGAACAATAAGATAATATTCTGACACACCCCCATAGCCAAAGTGGGGTGTAATCAGCCGAGCAGGCAAAGCAATACAAGCTCAGGGTGGATCACAATGTCACCACACATTCTGAGCACAAGTTCAAGAAGAAATAGTTTAGAGTTCACAATTATAAGCAAAGCTAGTGGTAGTCACAACGGGCAAGTGAGGAGGAGGAGGGAGAGTGAGGGGAGAGGAGATAGGAGGCGACGGCTGAAGCTGCAGACACACGGGCAACAGGAGGCAGACTGGCACAGCGGCTACCGGACAGCGCCCGGACTACAGGAGTAACAGGCCCCACGGCTCAAATAGCGGCGGACGGGCAACGGACCCACAGGCGGCTGGCGTAGAAGTCTAGCTCACTGGGCTACCGGGACAGCGCCCCGGACTACAGGTGCTGCTGACGACAGACTGGCAACCTCCGCTCATCCTCCCGCACACAGTCCCACCCCCCTGATACACACCCACTGCTACACCGCTAGCTCTACTCCCACGCACCCCCCTTAAACCCTAAACCCCAGTCTCCCACACAACCACCCCCCTCAGCGACAGCTGCAGCAGTGGGAGACGAAGGAGGAGGAGGAGCAAAGGGAGGAAGGCACACCGATCACCCCCATACCCGCCACCCCACAGCAAGCGGCCCCCTCAAGTCGCCTCGACGGACGACGGGAAATGGGGGGGAGGGGAGAAAGGGGCCCACAACGGACCTGAGAGAGTCGCAGGTGGGGGGACGGGGCCGGGGCCGGGGCCGCGAGTAGGGCGACGGGGCCGCGCGGGCGGCGACGGGGCCGCTGCGGCGGCGACGGGGCCGCGCGGGCGGTGAAGGGGCCGCGGCGGGTGGGGAGGGGGTCGCTGCGGGCGGCGACGGGGCCGCTGCGGCGGCGACGGGGCCGATCGGGCGGCGAAGGGGCCGCGGCGGGTGGGGACGGGGTCGCTGCGGGCGACGACGGGGCCGCACGCGACACCCCAGACCGTCGTAACGGACGGGCGGGGGCCGCGCGCGGCTCCCCTGGGCGGCGCGACGGGGCAGCGGGCGGCGCGCCAGAGAAGAAAGGGGCCGCGCGCCGAAGGTGGCGGGGCCGCGGCCGGAGTAGGGCGGCGGGGCCGCGACGGGTCCCCGTCGCCCGTCGCGACGCCTCCAGAGCGGGACGCGGCGAACGCCGCGAGGCAGACGCCCGCCGCGCGCCTCGGGGCGCACAGCGGGCAGAGAACCGCCGCGCGCCTCGGGGCGCACGGCGGGCAGAAAACCGCCGCGCGCCTCGGGGCGCACGGCGGGCAGAAAACCGCCGCGCGCCTCGGGGCGCACGGCGGGAGGAAAAAGTAGCAGCGGAAGCGAGGTGGGAACACACCCACAGGATCGATCCAAGGGGATCGACCTGCTCTGATAGCATGTCAAAGTTTGAAGAAAGAAAGAGGATTGAACTAGCAAGAATGAGGATACAAATAGCAAACCCTAGAAGGGTTGTACTCGCTATAGAGCACCCCACTACAGGCTAGAACAATAAGATAATATTCTGACAGAGACAACATCGGCAGCAGCAGAGACAACATCGGCAGCAGCAGAGACAACATCGGCAGTAGCAGAGACAACATCGGCAGTAGTAGACAACAACATCGGCAACAGCAGAGACAATATCGGCACCAATCGCGGGTCCTTCAACTGCACCGGCTCCAATCGACGACGACACTCCACCGACTCCTGCGCAGCAACTGAACCCAACACCACGAGAAGTACATCGAAGCGCAAACTTCACCGCAAGCTTCTACTCCAACTCCGACTTGTACCGTCGCTCACCCGGACATCGAGCCGGCGAAGACATCTGGCACGCACGAATGGGACATCCAAGCAACACAGTGTTAAGTAACACAATCAGAGCAGGCGTGCTCGACAAAGACTCACTGCTCCTAACCGACGGAAGCGAACTTCGACGAGCTCGCGGAATGTGCTTTACCTGCCCCGAAGCTGACTTACCACATAGGCCGTTCGCTTCTCACCACAACCCCAGCGCACCAGCTTACGCACCACTCGAGAAAGTGTACAGCGACATCATGTACAACCGCGAACCTTGACAAGGAGCATACAGCTACACCATCACGTTCATCGATGCTGCCACACGCTACGTTTGGCACCTCAAACTTCCAAGCAAAGACATGGCTTTCGAGGCTTTCGTCGCCTGGCTCCCAGTAGTAGAACGAGAATCTGACGTGAAACTAAAGAGCTTCCAGTTAGACGGAGGAGGCGAATACACCTCACAAAGGTTCAAGCAGTACTTGGCAGAAAGAGGGATCAAGCGGCTCATCTCCCTTCCCTACGCTCACCAGCAACAAGGCGTAGCAGAAAGGATGAACAGGACTCTCCAGAACACCATGCGCAAGCTGCTACGAGGGATGCGGCTACCCAACCACCAATGGCTCGAAGCAATGGACCACGCTGTCATGCTGCACAACTTGCTCTCGTCATCATCGCTCCCGAACAATGCATCACCGCACCTGCTGTGGACAGGAAAACAGGGCAGCACAAAAACGTTAAGAGTTTTCGGCTACATGGTACAGTGCCGACCCCCAGCTGCACGGGCCGGCCGATTCTCCCAACGCGCACAGTGGGGACTACACCTGGGCATCGAAAGAAATTACAATGCGTGGAAGATTTTTTACGTCCACTCAAAGGAAACAGTAGCAGCACGTGATGTCATTTTCTACGAGCGACTCACCCTTCCGACATACCTTGCCAACCTAGAAGAAGACCAGGACCCCACAGGCGGTTTCCGTGGTGACCGAGCCTTCGCCTCGGCAGCAAACGAAGCTGAATGGGATGAGCAGAACGTGGATGAAGCCTCGGAGGAAGCCGGACCTCTCCCTTACTGCTCCGTCGACGTCCCAACGGTTACGTTACACCTGCAAGAGTCAACACCAACGAAGCAGAACGCATAGGGCCCAACTTCATACCTGACCCAGAAGCAGGTGACGAAGCAGCTTATCTCGAGGACACAACACTCCCCCGCTACACACAGAGCGGGCTCTAGATACTCGGCCTCATCACCGCGGTCCACGGCACGGAGATTCCTAAGGAGCCTGCCACAGTTCAGCAGGCTCTGGGGGGGGAGCATAAGGAAAAATGGCGCGAAGCCATGGACAAGGAGCTGAAAGTACTGGAAGAACGGAATACCTGGAAAGTCGTTCCCATCGGCGTGGCACGCAACAAAACAGTACTCACCAGAAAATGGGTCTTCCATGTGAAGACAAAGGCAGACGGTACCATCGACAAGTTTAAGGCACGCTAGGTCGTGCGCGGTTTTGACCAAGAGCACGGGCGCGATTTCACCGAGACGTTCGCCCCGGTCAGTCGACACACTTCACTTCGAATTCTTCTCGCGATCGCCGCCATGAAGAAGAAGAAGCTGCGGCAAACCGACGTCGCCAATGCATTTCTCTACGCACTTGTTGGCGCCGAAATCTTCGTCGAACTTCCACAGGGCTCCAACGGAGAGCCCAACCAAGTCTGCTAGCTGCTGAAGTCCCTGTATGGCATCAAACAGGCTCCAAGACTATGGCAGCAGTATCTACATGCTCGACTCACCCGCATCGCATTCCGACAGCTACCACACGACCAGAGCATGTATCGGCTCACAAAAGGCGACGACTACATCCTACTGATCGTCTACGTGGACGACCTGCTTTACATCGGCTCGACTGACGGCATCACTACTTGGTTCAAAGAGGAACTGCAGCAGGACCTCACTCTCACAGTGTCATCAACCGTCACGCAATGCCTCGGCCTCAACATCCAGGAAGAGGAAGGCGCAATCTATCTCAACGCCGCGAAATATGCCGACACTATCGCCAAACGCTTCGGACTCACCCCGATCACCATCTCCACGCCATACCGCTACACCACAAGAAATCACAAGGAAAGCTCCGCTCTGCTTAAGCCCGCAGGCATACGCGACTACCAGAGAAAGCTGGGGTGCCTCCTCTTCGCGGACGTCACCTGCCGTCAGGATCTATCGTACTCTGCGAGTCAACTCGCCACCTTCCTCAAAAGGCCCGAGGCAGAACATATGGCGAAGCTCGACCGCGCTCTTCACTACCTCGTTAGCACTCTGACGATCGGCCTGACCTATCACAAGAACGGAACCTCGACACCTAAGTTAATCGGCTACGTCGACGCCGGTCACGCTGGCGACTCCGACAATAGACGCTCGTGCACCGGCTACATCTATCGCTTCGAACCCATCGGACCCATCTCGTGGCAGCCGAGCAAGCAGGTGTTAATCGCCCTCTCTTCAGTTGAAGCAGAATATATCGCACTTTGCTCAGCCACCAAAGCGAACTCCTGGAGGAAGCGAAGTTGGCTAAGTTACCCAGCTTCTCCTTGTTCTGCGACAACCAGTCGGCAATTCGCATAGCCAACAAAAATGGATTCGCGAACAGGACGAAGCACATCGCCCTGCGATATTTCTTCGTGAAGGACGAGATCGAGAAGGGGAGACTCGAGCTGTCTTACTGCCCTACGTCCGAGATGGCAGCTGATTACTTGACCAAGAAACTCGGAAAGCAGAAATTTTAGTACTGCATGCTGCTGACTGGACAGAGCCACGTCACCAGCAGCGACACTCCAGAAGCGAAGGGGAGTGTAGGAAACAAGTAACTTAAGCGCCTCTGTCGTGTCGAAGCACTAAGTCATAAACGAAGCGAAACACAGCGAAGCATCAGCGAGTCAACCCTCGGAGGTTGAACAACTGCTGGAGGTTACGCGAAAGTCAAAGGTCAGCGACCTTTGACCTGACAAGTACAGCGCGACAGCAAGGACAAACAACTGACTCGTTATTGAGTAGTTGCCCGAGTCGTCACTATATCGAACCGCAACAGCAACAGCAAAACAGTTTTTAGCTCTAACCCTTGATATTCCCTTGTACTATTTTAAAAGACAGTATCTCTTTGTTTTAATCAATCTACTTTGCCCTCACATACCAGCGCAAGGTGGTTCACAAACTTTTCATTAAACGCTTCCGCTATTACATTGTCCTACTCAGAGTTTAGTCTTGCAAAGATCCTAAGGGCTTTTCTCAGCCTAACACTGGTGCAGCATCTATCAGGCTTATCTCCGTAAGGAGCTTCATTTAACGCTGGCGTACATATCTAGGAAATCGGACATCTCTCATGTTGTTACGGAAACTTCTTTCAGTGCCCGTTGAGGTGTTTTACTCCTTAAACATTACTTCACATTGGAGAGTAATCTTACGAATTCCTGACCGTATAGCGAGTATGCGATTGCCTGCAAGAGCTGCACTTGGGATTCCGAATGTGTTTACCTCCCAACACAGGCGGTCTCGTGTGCACTGCACTGTTACCAACGGTCACGCGATGGCCTCCCTTACCGCATCACTCTTTCCCTTGAGCTCGCTTCGCGTCGTTGAAGTAACCAGCCCGCGCGAGTGCCGCGAAATCCAAGTGTCGCAGCACACCACGTGGGCGCCAGCGTTGACTCTCCAGCAGGTCAGCTGCGCGCCGAGTCCGCACGTTTCTCTCACTGCCGTTTTTTTTTTAGCCGACTCAAAAGTGGTGCCGACATCCTCGCATTCTCTCGCTGCCACGCTAAGGTGCGCGATGCTCTGCAAGACTTCTCCTCCTTGGCCTTTCGTCTTGCGCTCCTAAACTGTCGCTGTGAGTGCTCCTTTCGGTATTCGAGAATTCTCAAAAGCCAGGCTTCTTACCTTTTACGCCCTGCCCTTCTCCCCGCTGCTTCTTCCCCCTTCCCAACCCTCTCCCCCTTCTCCCACCCCCTCGTTCACACCTTTCCCGCCCCCTCCCCCTCCGCGTACGTTCCTCTTCCCGGCTCAGGTGAGGTTGCCTTGATTCCTCTTTGCTCTCCCTTCCTCCCCATCCCTCCCCTCTCCCGATCCGTGTCCCCCTTCCCTGCCCCCTCCTCAACCTCCGTTCACCAGACTCTAGAAACGAATTTGAGGACTTGTCAAGTTGCCTCTCAGTGTATCTCTCTCCCTGCCCCCCTCCAATCTGTCTCGTCCTTCCCGTTCTCTTCTCCCCCCTTTTTCCCGTTCCTCTCTGCCCCACCACCCACCACTCTCCCCCCTCCCCCCCACGCCCGCAGTTCCTGCAGCGCGAGCAGCAGCTGGGCAGCCATGCATGGGCGCAAGCCAACCTGCGCACATGGGCCCTCGTATCAGGTGCCACGTCATGCTCATGCCACGCCATCCCAATGCCGCGTCATGCTGAAAAGATCTCATGTCATGTGCTTTTGGAGCTGTCTCATGTCATGTGCTTTTGGAGCTGTCTCATGTCATGTGCTTTTGGAGCTGTCTCATGTCATGTGCTTTTGGATCTGATATCCTCGCGTGTGAGGGCGAGAGAGGCGGTGCTTGCATGGCTACCAGTGTAATTGTGTGCGTGGGGCTCAAGAAACGAGAGTGACCGCCTGGGCATGTGTGGGTGTGTGTATGTACAAGTGTGGTGGATATGTATGATGTATGCATACACGGGTGTGTGTGTGCATATGCATGTGTGCTTGTACTGCATTCTCGAGACATCTCAAAGTTCACAGCGTTGCACCCATGCCTACGCTCACCCTAACCTCCCGTGCCCCCTATGCACCTCATGCCTTTGACCCCCTCTCACCAGACGCGGATGAGTCAGAGGATCAAGTAGAGGCACGCACACCCGAGCACCAAGCACTAGCACACCCGCCCGCGCCTCTTCATGCCTCTGCCACCGCCACTGCCAGCACGAGTGCGAGCACCACAGGGGAGCACAGTGCGGCGTTTGTGTCTGTGCCATGTGGCAGCAGCAGCGGTGGGGGCGGCAGGGAGGGCAGGGTGGAGCGCAGGAGAGTGCTGGCGTCGCTCGAGACGTACCGCCAGGTGCCAGGCCCGTGTGCCGCTGTGGGGGAGTGGGGGGGGGAAGGGTGGGAGGAGGGTAGGGGATTGGGGAGAGTTTTAGAGGCGATTCTGAATCCTGGTGCGCTTCAAACATGGCATTTTGATGTGCCTCTGAGTTAGCCTTTTGCAACAGCTAAGGCATTCCACGTGTGTATGTCGAATCCCCCACGGCCCATGCCATGCCCCTGTGTTGTGCAGGACGCCCTTCTTCTCCCCGCCCTCTCTGCCTCCACCTCGCCAACACATTCCCCTCTCCATGCGCCCACATCGTCAGCAGCATCATCGGCAGCAGCAGCACCGTCAGACTCAGTGTCAAGCCCAGCATCACAAGCGCTCCAGGGGAACGCGTACGGCATTGCATCAGTGTTCACACCGCCCGCAATGAGAGGTGAGCGACAGGCACATAGCGAGTGCAGCCCCTGCGCTGCTTCCACATGACCCACATGGTTCCCTCCCACATCTCCCTGTCATTCTATTCACGATACAACCACGCTCCATCCTGCCCCTCTTCCTGCCCTAGCATCCTCACCATGAGTCCACCCTAGCATCTTCTTCTCTCGCCACCATACAACATACAGCCACACTCCACCCCACGCCCTCTGCCAATCAGGTCAGGGCCTGGCCACCCACCTGTGCCGCGCCGTGCCCTCCCTGCTCGCACAGTGCGACCCCTCCGCCCTCGCTGCTGTAAGCACTGCCTGCACTGCCAGCACTAGAGGAACTACATGCACTCTAGGTAAGCAGCGTAAGCAGATTTGACAACCCCCAGAATGCGTCACGCGCGCACTGCTGCAGCTCACTCACTCTACGCCAGCCCTCCCTGGCATGCTGGTGCGTCTCGTTCCTCATGGGAATGAGCCCGTCAGTCCTTCCCACCGTCTGTTGCTCTGCTGCCATGACCATCCGCTCCAACTCCCCTTTCCAAGCACCGTGACCCATCTCCCCTACTCCCCTCCACCCCCCATACCCGCCTCCCCCCTCCCCCAGGTGCTGTATTCAGACGTGGGCGAGCACCTGTACGCTCGTGCAGGCTTCACCGCACCGCCACACGTGCTGCCGCCGTCAATGCATGCAATTGGGGTGCGCGGGGGAGAGGAGGGCGAGAGGCGCGTGCGGGAGAGCAGTGCGCGGGTGGAGTGGCTGAGACGAGGCGAGCAGGTGGCTGCTGCTGTGGATGGCTATGTGCACATGGTGAGGGAGGGGTGCAGGGGGGTGAAGTGGGATAGAGGGGGGTGGAGCGGGGTGGGTGAAGAGAGGGCGGAGTCACACCACTTGCTCAATGCACACACAGCACACCGTCACGCTTCTGCATCATGCCCTGTCACCTTACTCTCCCTCTTCGTATGCACTCACCCACCGGTGTATCTGCATTCCGTGTTGCACGCTCTCGTTTTACCTCTCCTTCTCCCTTTCACCTCCTTCTATCACGTCCCCTCGTCTGCCCCACCACAACCAGCTATCCCAGCGCCCTGCTCACTCCGCCTCCTTCCTCGTGCTGCCTTCAGCCGCGCAGGTGACCCCACCTCACCCACTCAACCCTGCCTTCCGTGCTTGCTTCACCGTCACCGCGCCACAAAGCACTGCCATGTGTACACCATGCTGCAGGGCTGCTCCCATGAGTGGGGATCTGAAGCACCGGTGCCTCTGTGTGGTTGTGTGCGTGTTTGTTGAGCATGAGCGGCGTGTGTGGGTGAGCATGTGTGAGTGCAGGTGGATTGGATGGTGGAGAGGGAGCATTACTGCGCGCAACTACTGGGAGTGGAGCCCTTGCCGTGGTCAGGAGCACGGTGCAATGATGCCCTCATGGTGAGTCAGGGAAGCACGCTCACACAGGGCATGTGAGGTGACTCAAATGTTACCGTGCTGACAGTGAGTGAGTGAGGTGTGATGGCCGGTTGGTGGTGCTGGAGAGTGAGCCTCGCACTTGTGCCTCACCCTCACCCTCACTTGCACTTTTTCCTCCGAGCTCTCTGCATTGCACGTCACACCGCATTCCACGTGCATTCTTCTTCCGTGCGTGGGCAGGTATGGACCATGGATGTGGCGCAGCACAGCAAGTACATCAAGGTGCTGCTCTTCCACGGTCAGTCACTCATCCCTGCCCCCTTCCCCCCATCCCTGCTCTTCCACGGTCAGTCACTCATCCCTGCCCCCTTCCCCCCATCCCTGCTCTTCCACGGTCAGTCACTCATCCCTGCCCCCTTCCCCCCATCCCTGCTCTTCCACGGTCAGTCACTCATCCCTGCCCCCTTCCCCCCATCCCTGCTCTTCCACGGTCAGTCACTCATCCCTGCCCCCTTCCCCCCATCCCTGCTCTTCCACGGTCAGTCACTCATCCCTGCCCCCTTCCCCCCATCCCTGCTCTTCTACGGTCAGTCACTCATCCCTGCCCCCTTCCCCCCATCCCTGCTCTTCCACGGTCAGTCACTCATCCCGGCCCCCTTCCCCCCATCCCTGCTCTTCCACGGTCAGTCACTCATCCCGGCCCCCTTCCCCCCATCCCTGCTCTTCCACGGTCAGTCACTCATCCCTGCCCCCTTCCCCCCATCCCTGCTCTTCCACGGTCAGTCACTCATCCCTGCCCCCTTCCCCCCATCCCTGCTCTTCCACGGTCAGTCACTCATCCCTGCCCCCTTCCCCCCATCCCTGCTCTTCTACGGTCAGTCAGTCATCCCTGCCCCCTTCCCCCCATCCCTGCTCTTCCACGGTCAGTCACTCATCCCGGCCCCCTTCCCCCCATCCCTGCTCTTCCACGGTCAGTCACTCATCCCTGCCCCCTTCCCCCCATCCCTGCTCTTCCACGGTCAGTCACTCATCCCTGCCCCCTTCCCCCCATCCCTGCTCTTCCACGGTCAGTCACTCATCCCTGCCCCCTTACCCCCATCCCTGCTCTTCCACGGTCAGTCATTCATTCCTAACCCGTGGCCAAAATCAGATGCCCGTAGCAGCACAGCACCGTTCTTCTGTGCGCCACTTTTGTGCTACTCACCTGTGAGTCACTTGACTAAACCCTCTGTTGCTATCAGCACTGGGCCTCTGTGGTGCCCTTCCACTGCCATACAGCGCACTTGCTTTCTTCTCTCCATCCCCCGTCCTCCTGCCTCTCACCTGCTCCCGTCCACGTCTCCCCATCAGCGGGCAGCAACCCGTCAGACACAGCAGCGGTGATGGCAGCGGCAGTGCATGCTGCCATGCATGCACGCATCCCCTGCACCGCTCCTTCAACCACCTCTGCACCATCAGCATCTTCTGGGGGTGTGGTAGCGTGGGGCCCTGAAGCCATCACAGGCTCATGGCCAATCCAAGACCGCCACCTGGCAGAAGCAGGCGTCACGTGAGTGCTGCCTTGGGTTGTGTTGAAGTGCATCTGCATGCATCCCTTCCTCTGTTCTTTTATCACACTGAAATTAGATTCACGAGTTACACTCAAAGAGGGCTGCGGCAAATGCTGTGCTCACTGCCTATTCCTTCCGCCCTTGCTATCTGCATCTCGCCTGCCCCGCTCCGTCCTCTCCCCTCCATCTCCTCACCAGGGTGCATAGGGGGCCACGCAGCAGCAGCATTCCCATGCTCGCCCCTCTCTCACCTGCCGTCGCTGCACCCATGTGGTATGCACGCACACTGCTGCCATGCCATGCCCTGCCCTGCCACCGTGCATCCACCCACAACTCCCCGTGCATCTCTCGCCTTCCTCCCCATGCACTGCATGCCTTTCTGCCATCACCACGGCATCAAAGCCCTGCCACTAGCAGCACCTACTCGTGCCTGCCATTGTATCCCCCACTGGCCCCTACTCCCCACTCCCCTGCATCATCCACATGCCGTCCCTTGTCACTCGCACAGCACCTTGTGTCGCACTCCACCATGCGTCTGTAATCCATACTGAAACAGGCCAAGCAACCACCCGCATGCATGTGTGTCACCTGGCAGGTCGTTCATTCCCCAGGCCATCTGGGTGTGACAGGATGGCAAAGGCTCGTCAGCAACACAATGTACTTCACGTGCCAGCAAGAAAGCTTGCTAGTTATGGGCCCTGAGAGCTTTTAGCCGTGAATTTAGAGCAGTTGTCATCACGCTGATGCAGCACTTTTGTGTCATTGATCAAGTGGAGAGTGTACTAGTAGCAATCCATCCTGAATTGTCCTCAGCAGCACGATATGCTCTGCTGGAACCTGATGAATTCCCACCAAGCACACTGTCAACCCTAAACGCTTCCCTTTCACATTCCGAAGGTAATGAATCAACTGTGGTCCCACCTATTGAGGAACCATCACATGTAAGGGCTACAAGTACACTTGCACAACTAGATTCTTCCATTTAAGATACGGTACTCAACAGACCAAGCCATCAGTGCCATGCCAGCCCCTGACTGCTCCTAAGCATGCCTACACACGTATACACGGCGACCAGGCGCGAGGGCGGAAGGGCGGAACCAGCAACCAGGACCGAGGAGTGAGGGAAGCACAGACGCGGGCGGGAGGCAGAGAGCGGATGGGAGAACCGACAGGGCGGCTGCAGGGCGGGCGGGGGCGTGGGATTTAGTCGACGTCTTGCATGGGCTGCGCGGTCTCCTCTGTGTACTTGCCCTTGCCCTTGTCCGCGAGGCGGCCCTTGGCCTTGCGGTCCAGCAGTGCCTTGCGATCCTTGTCCAGCTTCAGCTTCGTGATCACCACCTTGGACGGATGCACTCCCACGTTCACCGTCGCGCCTGCACACACCACATGCACGCACATCCACGTTCACGTGCCGTATGGCACGCCACGGGGAAGCACATGGGACAGCAGCACAGCACGCGGAGCACCACAGCATAGCGACACCAGAGCACAACGCATGGGCCCGCAGACCACACTCCATATCACAGCACAGCACAGCACAGCACAGCACAGCACAGCACAGCAGGGTACAGCACACAGCACAAGACAGCGCAACAATACATCCACAGGACGGCAGCAGCACATATTTAGAATTCCGTCGTGGCTTATGAGCCTTGAGCGCCCTGTGTATCCCAGTAACACATGACCGCTACCACAGCAACGCGTGCCCGCTGGTGAAACAACGCAACGAGGCGGCAGGACGTTGACTCACCGTTGACCTTTTCGCGCGTGATGCGCTCGATGTGGATGACCCACTTGCGGCGGTACACCTGCACCACCTTGCCCTCGCGCCCCTTGTATGTGCCGCGCACCACCTGCACCTCGTCGTCCTTGCGGATCGGCACCGACCGCACCTGCCGCGCGTACACCAACATCCGGAAAACATCCGCATACGCAAACCACAATCACGGGACATGAATGAATGCGGAGGGAGCCAAGACACCGTGATTGCCAGGTCCGTAGCACGACGCAGTTTCGCAGGAGAAGTGGGGGCTCTCGGTATACATGCACGAGCCTTGTCTAGGACACGTACAGATAAACTAAACCAATCAGCATGCGCCGAGGACAGAAATGATGAGCGACGTGAGTGCCTGTGAAACTTCTTCCTTCGCCTCTCATCGCTGGTCCTGAGCTAGGGTTACGCCCCGCTTGAACACTTCCATTGCTGCTCTTTTACTACCCCCTCACTGCCTCTCACAGGCGTAGAACAAAGCAAGCACCCAGATATGCGTTTGCGGATTCGTTTCAGGCCGTGAAACCCTACACCGTAACGGATCAGTCCTCTTTCAACTTAACCTGCGCGCGCTCCCCGCTGAAACTAAGAATTGCATGAAACGTGCGCAGGGCGCGGCGTGCGCGCGGTGGGGACTCACGTTGTACTTGTTGCGCAGCTCGGACGAAAGGCTGGAGCTCATGATGATGCGGCGCTCGCTGGACGACGCCGTGAAGTGCGCCTTCCGCGACTTGCGCCGGGACGAGCTCACTCCTGCGCGCCGATGGGGAACGGGGAAGCGGGAAGAATAGAGGTTGAAAGAGGAAGGGAAAAAAAGGGGGAAAGAGTGGAAGGAGGAAGGGGACGAGAAAGGGAGAAGTGGGAAAGGGGAAAAGGAAAAGGTGGAGAGAGGAAAGAGGAACATGTACAGGCTGTGAGCAGGCGCGGACGAGGTTGCGAGCGACGAGGGGGTATGGGAGGAGTGATAGTGATCGAGGCACAACGAGCGCAGCACAAATGGGAGCATTCATAGCGGCGCAAGAGGAAGGGCACATGTGGTGCGGCTACCGGCTGCGTGCGGTGCTTAGCTGGACGATTGTCCTACCTGCTTCCGATTCTATGCCCTGAACTGACTACACGGCCAACACTAGAGCTCCCAGCACACGTTCGAGCAGACACTACACGCATTCTTCTCAAATTACGTTATCGACGAGGCACGAGCGCATTCAGCGCCAACTGAGGCGACTCCTCAAACCCTAAGCTCGAACTGCCGCAGATCTGAAGTCGAAGACCTAGCAATTGCCGATCTCCTAACAGAGGCTAGACCGAATTGATTCCATACCATCTTCGCCGTGGGTCTTCCACGCGGAAACCGCACCAGCCCGCCAATCCCCTCACCCCACGACTAGACTGTTGCGACTATCGCCCACCCACAGCCATGATCTAGGTCGCTGGCTTGCCGCGCCACGCCGCGCTAATAAATCCTTTTGGCTACAGGTAAGGCGGACAAGTGGCGAAACGCTCGAGGACTGCGAACAACCAACGAACTTCGAAACGACCCGTACTCCACGCAGCGAAGCTCGCGGTAGGACAAGCGACTCAACGGAGCACCGCGAGACGACAGCAGGGCGTGGACTTACTTGGGCTGAACTTCATTGTGGCAGCTTCTCTGGGCTCCTGGGTGTTCTTGCAACGCCTTTGAGTGTACGGCTGGAGCGGCGAGGTGAAGAGAAGGAAAAGGGAGAGGCGGAGCAGAAAGAAGCGAGTAAAGAAGGAGAGCGGAGGAGAAGGTTGGGTTGGTTTGGGCCTACGCTCCCAGACCCATTCTCCGCACCTACATTTGCCGAACCTCTCTCTCCGAGGAGGGCAACCAGGACGGTCGAGGCTTGAGAAACCCCCAAATCTGGGGTTTGCTTCATTCGGGGATCTGCTTTCCCACCTATGGGAGCGAAGCTATTAAGAGAAAATGAACAGCCGGAAAATAAGGCATCGAGTACGTCCATTATTATGTAGGTTATATAAGGGCGCGTGAGGTCTTTGAAATTTGTAAAAGTTTATGTTTTTAGGGCGAATTTTAGTTTCGAACTTACAACGAAAGAAGTTCGAATTTCCTTCTATCGAAGTTCGAACATCGGGCTTACCACACTGTAAAAAATCACACACACATACAAGGTCGAACCCCGACATTCGAACTTGTAAAAACGAGCCGAGCCACACGTCAACATCATAGGTTACTCGGTTCGCTCGTCTTGACGGTGCGCCACGTCAACATTTTGCGCATCGGTTTACAAGGACCTAGAGCTCCAACTCACCTTCCGCGCCGAGTGTGTAACCAGGGTACAAATAGCCCCCGTGGCAACACCTTGTATGCTGGACACATGGCTACAACTGTATGCACGAATTGTGGGGTGTCTTCGTTGTGCAACTTCATGCACTGGCGAAGTGCTCGCCCGTTTCGCCAGCTGTTCGGACGTGCTGCAAATCACACACGCTCGCATGAACGTGCGCACGCACGTTCGCGCCTCCGACTCGAGTCAAGTTCATATTTCAAACTTGAACTTTTGCAGAGCCCATACAATGCTTGGTTCGCGAAGCACCCTTCGCGAAATTAGCGAATAGGGTAACCACCCAAAGTTCGAACTTTATTTTGAACTTCTAAACAGACCACACGCGCCCTAAATAGCATATGCAGCCACCCTCAACATGTTACTCTAGTCAGCACAAATTTAGAACACTAAGTAACAATATTACTCAGATCCATTTCAATTTGCTTTATAATGCATGTACCATAATTTGATCCTCAACAAGCAGACAGTAATTTCCCCCCCTCCTCCCTCCAACCTGTTGGGAACAAATAGCCTTAAGCGCTTATGTCGTGTCGAAACTTCAAGACACAAGCGAAGCAGCGCAAATCGAAGCACCAGCGAGTCAACCCTCGGAGTTGATGTAACCGCTGGAGGTTACGAGAAAGTCAAAGGTCAGCGACCTTTGACTTGACAAATGCAGCGCGACAGCAAGGACACACAACTGACTCGACATTGAGCAGTTGCTCGAGTCGCACTGTATCGAACCGCAACAGTAAAGTAGTTACAATTATGTCTCTTCATATTCTCTGTACTCATATATATATTCTTGTATCCCTTTGTTTTAATCAACTTACTTTGCCCTCACATACTAGCGCAAGGTGGTTCAAGGACTTTATTAAAACGCTTCCGCTACTACATCATTTACTCAGACTTCAACTCTACTAAAGATCCTAGGGCGTTCAGCCCAACATGGTATGAGAGCAGGTTAGAGTTAAAAGTTACCTTTTTTCTTCAACACTTGATATATCAAGAAGACATGTCTGCTAGAAAGGAGAGGAGCTCCTCCAACGGCTCTCCCGGCACTACCCCTACTCCACCTCCTGTCTCTGGCCTACAAACAGAGGAAGGGACAACAATGAGACCAGCAGCTGGGTCTACTGAAACACCCGCAAACCAAGGCGCGGGCTTCGATCCAAGTATGATGGAGAAATTCTTCTCCTTCATGTCCTTCTACGAGCAGCATCAGCAAGGAGTACCTGCGCAATCAAACAACAACAACAACAACAACGTGACGCCCATGAGTCTCGATGGCTCATCCTACGCACGCGGGAATCAACATCAACAACCTACCTTCGCTCCGTACGAGCCCTAGCGCGGCTCCGTCAGCTTCATGCCGCAACCACAACCTGCACCGGGACAAGAAAGTGCACTGGACGCACTACAAGTTCAGTCGCAATTCGCGCATGTTCTGAAACTACAAATGACAAAACCTTTTGACGGGAAGGATTTATTTACCTGGTCATTCGAATTCGAGCTGATGATGGAAGGAGCGCAGATCCTTGGCTTCTTCGACGGGTCCCTGCCATATCCAACAAACGGCACACAGTATGAGAAGCAGCAGTACACCTATCAATCGATGACGGCGTACACAATACTACTGAGGAACATCACCCCGACTCAACAGCAGAACATAAGGACTTACCGAGGTTACGGTAACTCCGCGGAGCTCGCGTACAACCACTTGAAAAACCTGTATCAAGCAACAGACAGCGTAAATCAAAGTCGGTTAATGGCGAAGCTGACAACAATCGAAATGAAACCAGGCGAGAAGGGAATGGCATATATCAGTCGCTGTCGCGAGCTGCACGACAAGCTTCTTCGATGTGGAGGATCGATCTCAGAAGACGCCTTCGTCACGGTTGTCATCGGCGGTCTTGGCCCTCACTGGCGCTCCACTCGCGCCATACTACGAGCACACAGGAGAATCTTCGAAGCAACACTCTGCGCCGAAATCCATGCCGAGCAGCAGGACATGGACCTGCAAGAAGAACGACATAAGAAGAAAACGTCAGTACCAGAGTTCGCGTTTCACACCCAGCGACGCTACAACAACAACAACAATCAGCAGCAACAACGATTGAAGCCAGTACCTCCGTTTTGCCACATCTGCAAGACTTCAGGGCATCCTCGTACGCACTGCCCGCATCGTCAGCAGTCGACAACATCACAGCGACAACTTCGGCCTTCAAGCTCCCAAGTCACTTCAACGCAAGTAAATCCCACGACAAAGATTCAAGCCTCAACGACTCCAACAGGACAACCTGCACAAGGAGCAAGAAACTGTCAAACATTATATATGTTGTGTTAGTTTAGGCTACAGTGGGTTAGCCTATAGGGGGTTCACAATTCTAGGGTTAGGTACTTGTACTCATTTCACTGCTAGTTCATCCATTCCTGTTTAGTGATTCCAACATGGTATAGAGCAGGTCCTTCCTAGGACCGAAATTTTCTAAGGGCCCACCACTACGTAACTACCTACCTACCTACCTACCTACCTGTGCCCTAGGGCGCCTCGGCGTGTCACGCCCCTAGAGGCCCCTCTTGATGGCCCCGCGCTAGCCCCGTTCAGGCCCCATCGGCCCCACGCCCGCTCTCCCTAGCGGCCCCGTTCAGGCCCCGTCGGCCCCTTTAAGGCCCCGTTCAGGCCCCGCGCTAGCCCCGTTCAGGCCCCGTCGGCCCCGTTTCAGGCCTCGTCGGCCCTGCGCTAGCCCCTCTCAGGCCTCGTCGGCCTGCCCTAGCCCCGTTTCAAGCCCCGTCGGCCCCGTTTCAGGCCCCGTCGGCCCCGCGCTAGCCCCTCTCAGGCCCCGTCGGCCCGCGCTAGCCCCGTTTCAGGCCCCGTTGGCCCCGTTTCAGGCCCCGTCGGCCCCGCGCTAGCCTCTCTCAGGCCCCGTCGGCCCGCGCTAGCCCCGTTTCAGGCCCCGTCGGCCCCGCGCTAGCCCCTCTCAGGCCCCGTCGGCCCCGCGCTAGCCCCATTCAGGCCCCGATCGGGCCCGCGCTAGCCCCGTTTCAGGCCCCGTCGGCCCCGTTTCAGGCCCCGTCGGCCCCGCGCTAGCCCCGTTCAGGCCCCGTTGGCCCCTTGCTAGCCCCGTCAAGGCCTCGTTTGGCCCCGCGCTAAACCCTCAGGCCCCGATCAGCCCCGCGCTCGCCCCTCTAGGGCCCCAACCGGCCCCGTGCCGACCTCGCCGACCCGTGCCCACCACCTAGAGGCCCCGGGCGGCCCGTTCCCGCCGCAGCACACGAGGGAGAGCGGGTGGCCCGTCCCCGCCGTGACCTAAGCCACGCGACCCGAGCCGCGCGCCCCGAGCCGAGCAGCGCGCCCCGAGCCGAGCCGCGCGCCCTTAACCGAGCCGCGCCACCCAGCCGAGCCGCGACCCGACCTGAACCGAGCCGCGCCGCCCTGCCCTACCTGGTTCGTCCTACCTGCTTCTCCTACTGCTACTGCTGCTATTTCTACTGCTCCTATGGCTAGCCCACAGGTTCTCGTGTTCGATGCTGAGGGCCGCCCTGTGAAGTTTGACACCTGGCTCGATGACCTGCACCTCTACCTACAGCTCACAGCCAAGGATGACATCTCACTGTACGATCACGCCCTAGGCCATGTCACTGCCCCTGCTGCTACTGCTGACAGCACTGCTCGCTCACAGTGGCAGACTCGTGATGCCCACGCTCGCTTCGCCATTTGCAACTCCCTACCGATAGACGAACGCGAGCACTTTGGTCAGCACAAGACTGCACAGGCACTGTACACAGCTGTAGTTGCTCGCTACTCCTCACCTGCCTCTGCCGCACTAGGCCGTCTCTCCCTCCCCTACCTGTTTCCCGACCTGGCTTCCTTTCACACAGTCGCTGACCTCATCACGCACCTCCGTACTAGTGAGGCCCGCTTCCGTGCCGCCATGCCTGCTGAGTTCCTTGCCACGCACCCCCGTCCACTCTGGCTCACTCTCTACCACCTAGTCACCCGCCTCCCTGACACACTGCGTGCTGTCAGGGACCACTTCCTAGCTCGTCGCCCCACTGAGCTCACCATTGCCCTCCTCGAGAAGGAGCTACTTGCAGCTGAGACTAGCATAGTCGCTGTAGGTGCCTCTCGTGGCGACCCCCGTACCCCGTTCTTTGAGGGGTGTTCTCCTTCCCCCCTTCTTCCCTCTGTCGCCTCTGCTGCTGCTGTCGACCTTCTTGGTACTGAGAAGGTCGGCGCTGCGTCTGCCTTGAGCGGACGCCACAACGGCAAGGGCAAAGGGGGCAAGGGTGGTGGCGGTGACGGCGGGGGAGGCGGCGGTGGGGGCGGTGGAGGCAGTGGGGGTGGTGGCTCGGCTGGAGGGGCGAGTGGTAGCGGTGGGGGTGGAGGCGGCAGCGGCGGGGGAGGTGGCAGGAGTGGAGGCGGCGGTTGGGGTGGCGGTGGACGAGGCGGCGGCAGGGGTTGGGGTGGTCGAGGAGGTGGCAGCGGTGGTGGTGGCCGTGGAGGCACTGGCGGTGGCCAGGGCCAGCAGCACACTCCCTCGCCCCAGGAGGTCCGTGAGTGGTACTCTCAGCACGGGGGTGGGGGTGGT